TTTGCTTTGTGAAGAACAACTTTCTGTTACTAGTTTGAAGCCTGCTACCCATTCCTTTCCTTTGGTGTCCTCTAGTCCTTCTTTAGGGGAACTCATGAAGAACTTTTCTGTGTGCACCCTCTCCACCCAACCCCTGCTTTTAGAGACCTCTATCCTGTCCCCTCTCCGTCTCCTCTTTTCTAAGCTGAACAGTCCCAGTCTCTGTAGCCTCTCTTCATCTGGGGCCTGTTCCCAACCCCTGATCATGTTAGTTGCCCTCCCCTCTCCCAGCCTTTCTCTTCCCCTCTCCCACCTCCTTTTCCCAGTCTCCCCCAGTTTTGTTCAATAAAGACAGAGTCAATGTTGGAAGAAACGTTATCTTTATTTTGTACATCAATAAGAAGGGGGGCTAGGGAAGGGTAAGTGGAAGGAGGTGAGGGAGGAATGGGGTACGAGCCCCCGATGGGGAGGACTGGGCTGGCTCTGCGGGCTTCTGGGGGTGGAAGCTCTCCTGCAGCCCCCCGATTGCCCCCTCTCCCCAGATCGCAGCCTGCGGCAAGTGCAGCCGGTCTGATGGCCGAGTGGTGTGATGTGCCTAGTGTGGGTACTCCGGGCAATCCAAGCCAGGACTGCTTTGCAAGCGGGGCACCCCTTAGAACTGTCTGTCCGGGGTGGGGGTCGGGACCCTTTAAGCGCAGCCCTCGGCTAGCCTGAGACAGGATCTCCACGCTCTAAGTCCTCCTCTGATGCCCTGCCGGCACTGCTTCCGGCCATCCTTAAGCCCTGTTCAGGGTCCATTCAATGTGGACTTGCTAGTTCGAATTAGCAAAACGCTAATTCGAACTAGTTTTTAGTTCTAGACGCGTTAGTTCGAATTAACTAATTCGAACTAAGTTAGTTCGAATTAACGTTGTAGTGTAGACGTACCCTCACAGACTATATGAGCCAGCAAGTAACGCCACTGGAAAGAAAAATGAATGTATTAGTAGAAATGTTGCAAGCAAGACACAAGATATAATTCTTCCACTCTTCTCAGCACTGACAAGGACTCAACTGGAAGACTGTGTCCAGTTCTGGGCACCACGCTACAGGGAAGATATGGAAAAACTGAGATGGTCCAGAGGAGAGCAACTAACACGAGTTAACATGAGCTGTGGGGAAAGAAGGAAAAAATGGGATTTGTTTCTTCTGGAGAAGAGCAGATTAAGGTCTGTGGTAGGGTGCCAATTGGGAAGTTCTTAATCAGCTCTTACCACTGCAGCTCCAATCAAAGGGGATGGATGGGGGTGGCTGAAAACCTATGACTACCTGGTAACTAGCAACCCCTGCCAGCCTCATTAGCTCAGAGTTATAAAGGCTGGGAGGAAGCCAGAGAAGAGGAGGAGGGGAAATAGAAAGGTCAGGCAATGCACGGCATGGGAGGGGAATTGAGCTAAACTGAGCTTCCTAGTCTATTGCTGGCCAGGCCTGTTGTAGACAAAGTAGATGTGAAGCCTGTACATAGCAGAGAACTGGTGGTGGGAAACTTCTAGAGAATAAAGAGCACAGGTTGCACTCAGAGCCATTCCAACCATTGGTTGGCTCGGAGCAGCCACTCCTGACCCTGCACCTTGGGGGCCCCACAATGCATCTCTTTAAAATTACACATGTAATCTGCATCCTGCCCATTGGTGCAAGCACAGTTCAGTCTATCTCCAATCAGATGATTCTTAGGTTATCTACAAATTATGATGCATTTGAAAAATATGGTGGAAACACAAGTAGCCCTTGTTAAGGAGCACAATATATGGCTTTCTGGGAGGAATTTTTTTAAGGGCCCTGCAACTGAAAACCAATGATTGCAAGAATTTTTATAAAAGTGTTTTCTTCCACCCAAACTCCCCATGCTAAAAAAGGCTAAACAGATTTTGCTCAAACTTTCAAAAATGTAATTGACTTCAAGGCAAAGACCAAGCTTTGCAAATTTCAGCCCTCTAAGTGAAAGTTATAGAAGTAACTGAGAAAAGGGAGTTAAAGGTGCATAATAGCTTCCACTGTAAGGGTGCGTCTACACAGCAGGGCTTAACTCAAAATAAGCGACCCAAATTGAGCTATGTCAATTGCGTAGCTCAGAGGTTCTCAAACTTGTGATACCGTGACCCCCCTTTCAGTTGTTTGCGACCCCCTCCCTCCGGGGGTCGGGACCCACAGTTTGAGAAATGCTGGCGTAGCTTATTTCAAAATTGAGAGCATCTTTACAGAACTTATTTCAAAATAGAGCTCTCTTCCTCCAACATCCCTTATTCCTTGTACAATGAGGGTTACAGGAGTCGGGGTAAGAAGTCCTCCAGCTCGACAGAATTTCGCAGTAACTTAGTCCGCGTCTACACAGCAGGCAGTTATTTCTAAGTAAATGCTTGTTTTGAAATAATGTTTCTGTGTAGACATACCCTAACTCTGTCAGGATTTGATATATAAGCAATGTGATGGTGTCATCTGAGGCTGCAAAAGTTGGTTTTAAAAAAAGGAGGAAGTCAGCAACCAGAGAGTGAAGTTTGACCAAGCAATTACGTTATGGAAATGATCAGTCACCATGGGTCCCATTTCCTAAAAGTGGTAAGAGTTACAGAAAGCCATGGGATTTAACATAGTCAGGCGGAACTTTGATAATCTGATTTTTATGCTAGGGACTTTTAAATATTTTGGCCTGGAGAGGACCAGAAGGAAAGTGAAGTTGCACTCTTTGCACAGGAACAATACATTTCCCTTAGTGTTTCCAGGAGAAACCCTGGGTTCTCATCTGGTCCACTGGTAACATTCCCACCCCCCGCCCTCTTTGGACAGCAAGCAAGACATCAAATATATAGTAGCCCAGGGTACGTCTACACTGCATCCCTAGTTCGAAGTAGTTAATGAAGCGGGGATTTAAATATCCCGCGCTCCATTAACATGATCTCATTTTTTGAGGAGTAACATTAGTTCGGACTAAGGGCTTTAGTCCGAACTAACGTGTCCCGGCGCGCACTTCCTGGTTCGAATCAGCCGTGATTCAAACTAGCACGCCGGCGAGATCATGTTAATGGAGCGCAGGATATTTAAATCCCCGCTTCATTAACTACTTCGGTTGTCTCCATTTGCATCCCTAGTTCGAACTAGGGATGCAGTGTAGACGTACCCTGGGCTACTATATGGCCAATCAGGGTTTGGGGGTGAGGGGCTGTGCTGCCAGGAGCCTGTGAGCACCATGCACTCCTGGCAAGGCGGAGGAAACTTTGGGCGCTTCCCCAGGCCCTGATTGGTCTGGGGACAGGAGAGCAACAGGGCCTCCATGGGCTGGATCAACCCATTTGATGGGCTGAATCCGGCCTGCGGAGACCCTTTTGCCCACCCCTGAGCTAGCCTG